TGAATTAGAATCAAAAAATACAGCAATTGTTTCGTTTGCAACAAACAATAAAAATAAAAGAAAATGAGAGAAAAGACAAGTGAAAAAATTCTTTTATTCTAAATAAACAAACAAAATAAAAAAAAACATAATATCAGCTTATTCTCTTCGTCTTTTTCTTACATATAAGTGTTCTCTTTCTTGAATAAAGTAAAAGCACACACACCGAGCTGGTTTCTTTTTTTTTTGACATAAGTACATAAGAATGAAGACAAACTACAGTTGTAGAAGGAATAAAGATAGATCGAACAAAAAAAGAAAAACGAAAATAGATAGTGGATAGTGGAGAACAATCGAAATGAAAAAAAAAATAAACGTGTAAATAATAAGAAGGAGCACAAAAGAGAAAAAAAAACGAAAAATCTCCATACTGCTATTCTTGGTTTATTATCTCGAATGCCCACGTACATATGTATTTAATTCTCTTTGTCAGAGTCTTCATTTGCATCATTTTCACCTTCATTTACATCATTTTCACCTTCATTTGCATCATTTTCACCTTCAGTTGCATCATTTTCACCTTCAGCTGCATCATTTTCACCTGCATTTGCTTCATCCATATGAACTAAAAAAACAAACTCAATTCAATCAACTTAACTCACGAGAAAACATGTTTGAGTGCCCTCCCCCCTGAGAAGAAGTTTAAAACCATTCTATTCACCAGAGATCATAATGAATATCTCTAATGTCAATGTCTTAGCTGCTCTCGTTGGATATGAAAAAATGAGAGAATTAAACTTCTTTTATGTTCAGGTCTTTTTCTATTATTATAGCTGTTTCATTTTTCATTTATGCAAGATTTACATGAAAAAAAATTTTTTTTGAGAAAATCCGTCGAAAATGACGAAGATTCAACATAGAAGAGGCATTTATCGATTAGAAAAATATGTCATTTTCGACGGATTTTCTCAAAAAAAAAATACTTTCTTTCATGTAAATCTTATAGAAATGAAAAATGAAACAGCTATAATAATAGAAAAGGACCTGAAAATAAAAAAGTTTGATTCTCTCTTTTTTCCAAATCTAAACGAGGACCGGTAAGACATTAACACTAGAGATATTTATCATGAGCTGCATCAAATAGAATGGTTTTAAACTTCTTCTCAGGGGGAAGGCCATTCAAATATGTTCTTTCTTAAGATATTTCATACTTATTTGTTCTTCCAAGTTGTTGTTTTCAGCCGCATATCCATCTCTTTGTTTTAATAAATTGATAATTTCTTCATCAATCTGATTTTTAACTTCTTGCGTATTTTCATTTAATAATTTGTGTTGTTGTTCTTTTAATTTATTGTCAATAGCTAAAATTGAACTTATATTTTGTGTAATCTAAACAAAAGAAAGTAATTTTTCATACGATATTTTTCTAATTTATTACTTTCTTTTCTAAGGCCTGTTGTCGTGACATTTTTCTAAAACAAAAAGCAAATAATTTAAAATTGGTATAATCAAATCATTATATATAACAAATAATAAATTCATCTTATTTGTTGAAGTGCGATTTAACTTTAAAATGATAGCTCTGGTACTGTATACTTTTCTTTCTTTCGTTTCTCTTTTCTTCTTATTATCTATATCTTTGATATGATATATCTCGGTTCATTTTATTCTATTTTATCCTGATGTTTTGAACCCTGGACAGTGAATATATACATTATATGTCTTTCATTTCTTTTTTTTTCTTTTCTTTCTTTTAGTTAGATCTTTCTTTGATGTGATATAACCTTGATCATTCTTTATTGTTTTCTCTTTAAGTTTAACCCTTAATCTCGTTCACTGATCTATATATATGTCACAGGCAAAATTAAATTTAGGCAGAATTCGTTTTTTAGTACACACAAAATTACGAATTACTTTGTTTTCTTTTTCAAATATAGTTATAATGTATAGTTGACATGAGAATTTAGTTAAATTTGAAATTTGCGCAATATTGGAAAAAAGAAAAAAAAAGTTTTTATTACGAAAAAAGTCAATAAACAATTTGAAATAATTTATTTGGTCAGAAGTTTACAAAACAAAGTTTTGTTAAACACAATAAACAAAACATTTCAATGTGCAGATTTTTTTCGTTATATTTCAATAATAGACAAAATTTTTCACAAAGACTTGGTAATAAGAGCTAAATTATAATGGATTGAGAATAATTGTACAATTGCTTGTACTCTCCAATTTCATGTTCTAGACATAGAGACACGGTTATAAAAGCTAGTTTGTTACAGGTTGATAAAAAATTACACAATCTCTGCTCGTCTTTCAGCTACCTGCTCTGAACAAATTATAAGAATTTGGTTATAATAAAAGCTTTTCTGAAACAAACTGAGAATAAATCTACAATTGTTCATCCTTTTTTCAACCACCTGCTCGAGAAAAGTCAGAAAGATTTGGTTGGAAAACCTAGTTTTAAACAGAATAAAAATAATTATACGATTTCTTCTCCTCGTTTCGGCCTTCTACTTCACATGAATCATAAACGTTCAGTTATCAAAACCAATTTAGAATAGATTGAAAACAATTGTATAAGGTCGTCTCCTCTTTTGGCCTTGATGAAATTTTCTCATTGAAACCAAAAAAAATTATTTTATCTATTATTAAAACTTCATCGATCATCCAATATCCCGATGTCCAGACTATTAAAAAAATTCATAAAATTTTCTAATTGATGATGAAAAAATTATTTTATTTAAATAAATAAGGTCCAACAAATGATTTCAATTTAAGAGAATCAAAATGACTATATTCTGGTAAATCATTCTTTGAAATAAAAAAAAAGAAATTTCATCGAAAACACTATATCAATGAAGACTTTCTTGGATTTAATATTATTTGAATTAGACATGTACGCTTTGGACAAAAGAATCTATAGTTCTATGTCAAATTATAGGACCAACTGTTTGTGTAATATTGTTTTGCTGGCTTTTGATTACTCTAAACTTTTGAGAAGAGAAAAGTCGATGTGAGTACATACATTCAAGCATGCTTTATTCTTATTGATCAAATTCAAACAGCTTAAAAACATCACCTAAGATTAATATTTTGACTGCAAAATTTGAAATATAGACAAAACTGATTTTCGGGCGATAAATTCGAAATAAGACATTTTTTCGACAGAACTAGCAAAGGTCTTATTTTGTCGAAAAAAAGTCGTCTAATCGAATTCGTTGTTCAATAATCAACTTTGCCTATATTTTAAGTTTTAAAGCTAAAATATTGAACTTAGGTGACATTCTCAAGCTATTTCGAATTGATTAATAATATCTCATTTTAAAGTCAAAATTCTTTTATGAAAATGTTCAGATAGAACATATCTATCTGCCTGTATGACTTTCAAACAAAACTAACATCCCTCTAATCTATAAACAACGAAGATAGGATACCAGACAAAAATTCACGAATTTAAATAAACATTTATTTTATCTAACGTGGAAATAGTGCCGAAGAAACCTGATTCTATATTTGAATAAAACATATTCGAATACATGTGTTCACATAAAAAGCGCAGAGTGATCGAGTACCAGGCAACAATATCACTCAAGTCGGCGATCCTATAATTTTGGTCAGAACACCAAGGACTAGTGTCCTGTACGGGTGCGAGTTTTCGCGACCGGGGCTAATCGATATTCGGAAAGTACTTTCACAGTCATAGTGTGATTTTCAAACTTTTATTTTATATCAACAAAAGTATACTATTTAGTTTCTTCCATAGATAGCAACAAAAAAGCAAGTGATTTAGGATTCACATAATATCTTCAACCCGACCAATTTCGTTAAGTATACATTTATTTGTTGTTGATGACGCTGGAACGGAACGTAGTATTCACAAAACGTCATAATCGTGGATATATACATGAATGCTTTTTCCATCACGATACTATATGTTCACTTTTTTTTGATGATTCATTTTCCTCAGTTACTTCGTCACAGGACTCAACATCATCTGTAGATAAGTTTTCATTAAAAAAACGAATTCTTTTAGTAAAAAAATATCGTTTTCCATTTCTGTGACCTGTTCTCAAGTGCAATAAATTGTTCGAAATGTACCTCACTCCTATGCTTTTATATAAATTAGCAGTTGGAAAATATAGAAATATTTGAGTCATGTTGTTGGAAGTAAGGATGTACTAATTTGAACCTGAACTTTGATTTTTTTTTATATCAAACTTCTTATCTTTATGTGTTATTTGATCTGTAAAAACTGAACTTAAATCGAATTCGAAAATTTTTTGATTTGATTGATGTCAGATTAGACAAAAAAGGAAAACCTCATTCTATAATTGTAAATTTACCTTATCACGAAGTAGTTGTAGTATTTGATCAACAAATGATACTTTACTATTCATTAATGTCATATCCATAGATATCATTGTCGTTGGAAAAGTCTAAAATAAATTTCAAAATAAAAGAAAAAATTCATTTCGATTAGATTAATTTACAAGAGCTGATTGTAATTCTTGAAAATAGAAAGTCGATGGATCATTGCGTACTTCACTTAAATCATTACTACATATTTCATCTAATATTTCATTATTATCTAACGAATTCATTAATACACTATCAATAATTGAACATTCATCAATTGTTTCAATATAAGATTCTGTTGGATCTTCATTAAATGAAAATTCTCGTAATGCTTGACATCCTAATAAAAAATTTTAATTAATTATTTTAATTAAAAATATATTATTTATTTTTTACCAAGAATATGATCTTTTCCTTCATTATCTTTAATAACTTCTCGTAATGGAGTTAAATCATACATTGTTTTCGAAGTTATATGAAGTATTTTTTCATTATCATCATATTCTTTATTAATTCGACTGTTTAAATTAGCGAAACCATTTATAAGAGGAAAATCACTTGATGAATACATTGTATATGAAATCATATCTGCATATAATGAATCAATTCCGACACCACCTGGCTATCGACACATATTTGATGGTTGAAATGGATGAAATTCAAATTCATATGGAATTGAAATTGTTGATAAATCTGTAACAAGATAAGAGCTTGCTTTTGGTTTAATACGTGGTGTTAATTTTTTGTTATCTCTATTTGATCGATATTTGTAATATTTGATTCTTCTTCATCATTTTGTTGAATACTTCCATTAAGTTTTTGTGTTTCTGTATGAAGAGCATCAACACGATATTCATAAATTTTTGCACGAAAGAAAATTTTATAAATGAAAAATTTTTTCTTTACCTTGTATCAATAACTGATCCAGCTTTAACAAAATTAGGTTCATGATGATCATGAGAAGAATCTGTTTTATCATCAAATACAATAATGTCTAATATTTCTGGTGATCGTTCAACAAATGGAAAATGAAATGCATTTTTTGCATTGATTTTATTTTTTGCAGCTAATTCAACTGTTTTTTCATATAAAGCAATTAATTCTATAGATGTTTGAATATTTTCATCAACACCACTATCTGTACTATTAGAGGTATTAAGAAATAAACGTGATTGTCGTTGTTCGAAAGGAGAATTTTCATTATCGGAATCAAAATGATTTACTATTCGATTAACTAACGAACTATGAAATGAAATTTAAAATAAAAACAAATTCAATATTTTATTAAAATATTACCGTCGAGGTATTGGTAAACATTCGTTGTCGTCTTCGTACATTATTTATACAGGGTGACGCAAAAGTAACCCGGTATGAAGTATATCCTGTAATAAAAGATGATAAATTGTTCATGATACTTTTCAT